AGAGGAAACAAAAGATTCGAGAGACAGAGACACTCAGAGTGGTTTGAGGCAGTGTCAAGTCATGAAATGGAGCTGAGCGTCTGTCATCCATCATAACAGAGAAGGAGAGATCAGATGGAAACTAGATATTGAGAAGAGAGGGCGTTTCTGTGTTGCATAAGGACATTTTGATTTTATTAGGAAGATAAAGAGAGTTGTGGGATTTGGAATTGGAAAGTGGCATAATCAAAGCTGAACCTTTGGAGACAATGGGGACTCAAGGGGGTGTCTAAGGGGGTGGAGAGACCAGCAAAGTGGCTGTTGAGTCACTTAGCCTGGAGAGCAATTGCAAGACTCCGGCAGGGCCTTGAGCGCCCTCTAGATGAAGGGAAGAAGGGGTAAAGAAGGACGGAAGTGCTGTGCTCGGGTGACAAGAATGCTAGAGGCATCACAGAAATGTGAGGGACAGAAGGAGCAGGGGCTTTGGGGAAAGGATGTGTTCAGTTCAGAATTCACTGCATTTAATGTGCCAAGGGAATGAACTGGAGTATGGGATTCCAGAGCTCCGGGAGCTTCTGAAACCACCTCCACTGACTGCTTTTGAGATTTTCAGTTGTTCATGTAACAAGACAAGTTAGTAAGAAATATTGGGCCCTTCCACAGATATTGGTGTTGCCATCTATTTCTCTGATCCCTGAAAAGAGAAGGCAACTTTGTGCTTCTAGAAGCCCACTGAGAGCAATTCTATGGGATTGTCCAAATTAAAAGGGATGCAGGGAAGTCCCCCAAAGAGGAGGAGCCACAAAGGGGTGGCGGGGGGGCTACTGGGGATGGAACCTGGGGCTGGTGGCCCCTTACCTGCAGTGTCCAAAAGGAATTGCTACTAGAAGCACCTACGTAGGTGGCACCAGGTCCCCAGGCTCGTAAAGAGCCCGGCATCTCAAGCTTGACTCCGGTGCTGGCCGGAGAGCAAGGACAGGGCGTGCTGCGGCGTGGTTTGTGCAGAGAAGAGAGGGCCTGCGTGAAGCTATGGGGCTGAGTGAAGGTTGGAAATCCTCTCACTTGGAAGAAGGGCACACTTTTCTTCCAACAAAAGCACCGTCTACTCCTAAGCTATGTCCTGGAAGCTACCACTGCCAGGGGCCACCTTTGCAACATGGCACAAAGGGTCTGTAGAGGTCACAATGGCTTGCCACAGAGCAGAGCACACCCTGCCCCAGACCCCGAAAGAGGAAAACGTGACTCCCCCTTCTCCAGCTCTAATATTTGAATTCTTGTGTGACCCACAAAGCCCAGGACTGATTTTCCTGCTACTCTGGCAAGTAGGAGCTTGGAGTCAGATTAATTTTATTTAGAAAGGAAGAAGTTTTAAAGTTTTGAAAGTACATTAAAAATAAAAGAATGTGCTATTTCTCCTGGCCAGAATTGCAGAGCGAAATCTGCCACTCTCTGTTTAGTACGTGGAGTGGTATAAATGTCTCTCATAGCTGGGGGGCTGCAAACACCGCCTAGTGTGACGGTTCCCTCATCCAGGCCTGAGCAGAAGGTCTTACTCCTGGTGGCCCCCTTGGGCATGCACTTTGCCGGGCCCATCTCTGCCGCTGTCTCTGAGTGAAGAGGACTTCCTGGGACCCCCTGACAGGTGCAATGACCTGGGTTCACTGCACTTGTCTGTTTCATTGAGTTATTCTGTGAGGGCTGGAAGCTGCTGCACACATTGCACATGTATTCATCAAGATTTCACTGCTGCCCAGTGATGAAAGTCGCCCTCTGGGGCGGCAGCAGGCCACAGGGAAGCAAATGTTCCACAGCAGAGAGCCTGACAGAGAGAGAGTGCCAGATGGAGAGGCTGAGAGCCAGGGCTGCACGGTGGCCCAGGAGTGCTCCAAAGCTCCCCCAGGTGGCTTGCTGGGGTGTGAGGGCATGGAGGCCACCCTGCTCCCTGGATAGATGCCCAGATGAGCAGGCCACTCCTCTGAGGCCGCCACCACTTAGCAAACTCCACATGTGGATAGGGACAGCACCAACCAGTCTAAGGGGATATCTAGAGAGTGTTCTTAAAGCATAAAATAAAATAAAAATAAAACTTTCATTCTCTAATTACAAAAGTATGTAGCTTTACAGGAAATGTGGAAAATGTAGAAGACCAGACAGAAGAAAATTTGGAAGTCACTTGAAAGGAAAACACTATGGCATTTGGATTTGCATCTATGTACTGTTTCACCAGGTCTGGCATCAGGTCACAGAAGCCAATTTTTTCCAGCCTAAAAAGACATATTAATTATGAAAAGTCATAAACATTCATACAAATACAGAGAGTAATCGAGCAAACATTCAGAGTCTTGCCACTCAGGTTTCCATCTGCATGCTTTTTAAGTTTTTAAATTTTTTAGTTGGAAATAATCCCAATGTGCATTTCCTGGGGATAGGGATATTCTCTTATTAATATACTACCTTAGGACAGTTGCGGCTTCTTACATTGACACAGTGTTTTAATCTGCCATCCATATTCCACTGTTGATGACCTAATAAAGTCCTTGTCTCCAATCTAGGGTGACATGTCGCATTTTGTTGTCATATCTGCTTTGTTTGCCATGGTTTGAATGTGTCCCCCAAAGTTCATGTGTTGGAAGCAATCCCCAGTGCAAAAATGTTGGGAGGCAGAACGTAAATGAGAGGTGATCAGGCCATGGGAGCAGAGTGAATGGGCTCATGGCCTCACTGGAGCAGGTTCATTAAAAAAGAGGGAGTTGAGCCCTTTTTCTCTCGTCCATGTGCTGCCTTTCTCCATGGGATGACACAAGAAGGCCCATCCCAGCTGCTGGCCTCTCAGTCTTGGACTTCTCAGCTTCCGGAATGGTGAGCAAACAAATTTCTCTTGATTATAAATTACTTAGTCTGTGCTATTCTGTTATAGCAGCACAAAATGGATTAAGAGACCTCCCTTAGAGCTAGAACATTCTCATCGCCTTTTTTATTTTGTTTTCTAGGATGCTGACATTTTTGAAGAATACAGTCCTCTCTGCTTCTTTTAAATAGAACGTTCCTCACTTTGTATTTGACAGATGTTCCCTTGTGTTTGGATTACAGCTGTGCATTCTTCGCTGGATTACTGCATTAGTGACAGGCACCTGTCCCTCACTGGTAATGCTCATTTTAAACCCCAAAGTGTGGTCTACTTTCTCCACTATATGATGACTATTCTATTCCTCCCTTGCAACCAATATACTTCTTGTCATCAAAATTTCCTCTTAGATTTAGTGGCTATTGATAATTCTTGCCTGATCCAACCTTTATCTGAGGGGGCAGGTGGGAGGAAGTAGACATCTAGGCAAAGAAACACATGTTGGAAAGCCCAGGGAGAGAACAGAAGCTGGTGTTTTTAGGGAGCCTAAAATGTTTTTGTCTGGCTGGAGTTTCCAGAGCGAGAAGGGAAGAAGGAGTGATTCAAGAGGTAAACAGGGACCCGATCACAAAGGGTTTCACGGGACAGCAGAAGCTTTGGTTTTATTCTCAGGAATGCAGAGTCACTGTGCAGTGAAGGACTCCCCAGGGGATGTGCTGAGGGGGCAGGCAAGAGGCAGTGAGAACGGTTAGGAGGCCTTGCCACTGTGCTAGCTGAAGACAGAGTTATTCATAAAATGAGGGCAGAAACCTCAGCAATCAAGGAGGCCATCGTTAGGCCAAGGTTGGCTGAGACCTTGACCTGCAGATTTACAGTGCAGCCAGGAAACATCTCTTTTTCTGGGAAACCCTGAGCGTAACACTTCCTCTCTTGCCAACCTGGTGTTGCCATCAGCACTTCTGTTGCGTAAACAGGTAGGACATGTGTTGGGGGAGGTGGTGGTAGTTAATTTCCTGATGATATGGAGCAACAATATAGCCGGTGGTGTCTCCTTTCCCTGCCCCAGTAAACCTATGAGCTTTCATCCTGCAGAGCATCAGAGGCCCTGGCCCGAGGCTCCAGCGCTGTCCCACTCTGTGGGGACAGCAGTAGGTGTGCTCCAGGGGTGAAAGGGGTGGCCCTCAGAGCTGTCCTTGGGAGTGAAATGACAGGGCTGTGCCTTAGGAGAATGAGGTGGGCACTGGGCCCATTGGTGAATAGAGAAGGTCAGTTGTATCTGGGAGCTGGTGCTTCACTCATTCATCTGCTTAGTCAGCCAGTGCATATTTATCGAGCTCCTACTGTGCGTCAGGCACTGCTGGAGGCGCTGGCATGCAGCAGTGCAGGAAACATCATGGGAGGAGAGGCGGGAGGTGGAGAGTGTTTGCTAGGATGTGGTAAATGCAGGTAAGGAAAGGTACTAGGCACCTGTCCGTCAGCCCCTTGTTCTGCTGATCCTCCACCTTAGTCTGCCTCCACCCACGGACTGCTGCTGCCTGATACTAGTATGTGGAGATGAATTGCTTAAGCTTCCCACAATGTTCCCTTTATTCATGTTTTATCTGTAAAAGTTAGACCACACATCTCACCATGATGTAAAACCTTTCATTCCAGGGACCCCCAAGGCTTGGGATCCGATTTGGGGATCTACTTTTGGGATAGTCTAAATACAAGAGAGACTGGGCCTTCTGTAATGTGGTCCAGCCCTTCTGGACACAAAGGACCCCAGCAGGTGATGGCGGGAGAAAGTCCAACTTGGTAAGGAGACAGGTTGAGGCAGGAGTAAGGGAAAGCTACCCAGGTCCAAAGTGTCACATTGCCCTGCCATGTTGCCCCGCACGGCTGCCATTATACCTTGGTTGTATCAGTGACTCCATTCACACACGTATTTTTCAAACACACATTACACAGAAAACATATACAGTGACCTATGGAAAGCTAAAGATGAATAGGTAAGGAATGGAAGGAGAAGTCAGCCAACTGAGGGCCGGGCACTGTCTTCCCAGCCCTACTATCCCGGGGCCACCCTGAACCAGGCGCAGCCCACCCATGTGACCCACTCCAGCTTTAGCTCATCGTGTCATCCCAGAGCCCTCGGTCCTACAAAACCAGGGTGTTTCTCAGAGCTGTGACTCACCATTGCTGGCGATTTTGGAAATGCACTGATGACAGGCTTTCTCCATACCTCCCGGCATTGTTCTTGCTCACTCTTCAAGTTCTGAGGATCAAAAATAACTCATTAGAAAGGATGCTGGAATGATTTACTCAGCACCAATAACCGACCCCCTCTGTGCATCAGTGGTGGCCCAAGTCAGCTCGGGGGGCCTGGGTGCTAGTGTTGGTGCTGCTCTTCCTGCAGGTGTGGCCTTGTTCGTGGTTAGTGGGGCTGAGAAAAAGACTCTCAATTCCACATATGAGGGAACCAAGCTCAGAGAGGTTAAGAGGCTTGCCCAGTGATACCAGCCAGGAAGACACAGACTGGAGTGGGAGATGGTAAGGGCTCTCACTTGCTGAGCAGTGGCTGCAGCCAGGCATTGTATTAACTCTTTAAATAGGTCATCTCATATTTAATCCCACAACAATCCAATCTAGGAAGTGTTATTGACTCCAGTTTACAGATGGCATCTTAGATACCCAGAGAGCTTAAGATTCACCCTGAGACCAGAGCTGGCAACTGGCAGAGCCCAAACTTGATCCAGGTATGGACCCAGGTACAGAGCAAGAGCCCTCACTTCCCAGCATAGCTGCTGCATCCTCCCAGGGCCCGAGCGGGAAGGGAGCCATGGGTTTGACCAGAGCATCCTGGGCCGAGACCCGAGCAGCCTGCAGCACCACCCCGGCTCCCCTGCGGACCTGCTGTGGTCTGAGCAAGCTTATTGACACTATGAGAAAGGGCTTTCCTTCAATTGGAAGAAATAGCCATACACATTTTAAATCCACCAAAAAACTCCAGCTCATCAAGACAGCAAATTTTCCTGGCCAGCGAAATGAGGTAGCCCTGTAAAGACATTAGGAGAGGAAGGGAGTCTCTTTGTCCTAAGGCTGGGCGTGCGTAGTTCTACCACTTCCCACCATTTCGTTGCTTGGGAGTGAGGCGTCCATGGGGGCTCATGGCTGATCCAGGCATGATCTGGGGCAGATATCCTTACTTCATACACAAAGTCTCTCCAGGAACCCATTCTGAGTAGGCACGGAGCCATTTGAAAGCACGATTTAACAGGGTCCTCATTCCTCATACTGCGGGGGTTTGCAAACCAGGGGACTGCCCCATTTGAGCAGTGCTGCCTGCAGGCCCTCCTGGGTGAGCTAGAGATTAGTGCAGGGGGAACACGCCATGATGGGGAAGATTTGTGGTCCGAGGGCAGAGGTGGTCATGATGACAAAAGGAGAGCTTGCTTTGGCCAGAGCTGTGGCTCACAGAAGGCGAGTCACTCCAGCCCCAGCATGGGCCTCCAGGCAGGAGCCATGCAGCCCACAGCTTCTCTCTGCAGTTGATCCACAACTAATGCACAGGCAGGGTGATTTAGCTGAGATCCAGGGTTTCTATTCCCCATCACTGTGGTTCTAGGGCATGCCATGCTCAGAACCCGGCTTTGTGTCAGCAGGGCCTTTACAGCAGGAGGCAGTGTGACCCAGAGTCAGTCCCCAACCAGAGGCATGTCACCAGTGCCCTGCCAAGATCTTCCATATTGTTAGCTCATTTAGTCTCCCCAGTTCTTCCAGAGGCAGGTACGTCCCATCTTACAGAGAAAACCAAGATTCGGATCAATTTGTTTGCTCAAAGTCACCCAGCTAGTAAGTGGTAGAACGGGTTTGAAATGAGGCCTCCATGACTCTATCTGAAACCTGGACTTTGTGCCTTCAAAGCCCACAATCTCTCTACTTCACCCCAGAGCAAGAATAAAGAAGAAACCTAGAAAGGAGAGGCTTCCCAAAGTGAGTCAGGGACTAAGCCAGGAGATCACGGTGCCTTTCTCGTCAGATCTTTTATGCCTAAGCCTATTTAACTCGGCACAAATTCTTATCCCCATTTTACAGATGAAGAAACTGAGGGTCAGAAAAGTGAAGAACTCACCTAAGATCACACAGCCAGATTGGGATCCAGATCTTGGGATCTGCCAAACTTGAGGTGCCTACTCTCTGTTAATCAGAATCAACTTTGACAGTTTTGACAGCAGTGAGATAATGGGACAGAGTGGCAGGGCTGAGCACCCAAGATTTTCTGACCTCTCCTCCAATCCCTGGGAATCCCAAATGCAGTGCTTGGGATTCCAGGGGTCCCTCTGCTGTTTCCGCCTCCTGATGCATCCTCCCTTGCCCACTCTTCTCCTGGAAGCAGCTGTGGGGGATGCATGTGAGTCTTTGTCTCCCTGGCACACATTAGGTCTTCAGTATGTTTAATGAATAAACATGAATTACTATTCAAATATCTCCTCCCAGCTCCATTTTCCCCCAGAATGTCCTTGCAAATACTACGGCTGTGGTGTCCTTACACACAGGAAACCAGGAGCACTGCAGCCCTGGGTAAACCACAGCCTCCTGCCTTTGACTCGGCATTCTACCCACCAAGGTGAAATTTGACTAGTTCTCTAGCCTAATGGGGTTTGCCAGGTGCACATCCTTCTGTTAAACAGCGAGTAGGCCCCAAGTCATGGACAAATGGCTATTGTATGGATTACAGATTTCCTGTTGATGTCCACACTTCATGAGGTTGATTGCCACAGGGGCATCACAGAAGCTAAACAACTTAAAACCCTGCCTGAAAAACAATCCTCCTGAACGCAATGATAAGCTCAGTTATCTAAAGGGGCCACAGCCCATCAAGCCTCCTAAAGGCCTGGAAGGTCAGTTCCTTTCCTCACTCTTCTTAGGGAAAACAGAGGAGCGCTTCATGTCACAGGGAGGCTGTGTACTTTACATCTTCCAGCCACGAACCACAGCATTTTCCTCCTGCATCACAGAAGAGATAGAACAGAGGGAGGAGAAATACGAGCCATCTCTTTACACTTCCATGGTGGAGTTGCCGCTGTTTTATAAACTTCCTTTGAAGCGTGCTGAATGGTTTCTGTCAGTGCCTATGCACCAGGACACTCCAGTCTTCAAATCCACAGCAGCTTTGCAGAAACCATCTGTGTCACATTATAACAACACATTTCTACCTTGGGCCATTCACTGCGGTGAGAGGCACACGCTGTAGTCTATGAATCCTGAAGAACAATGTTCTACCACAAAAAGTCATATAGTGCCACATATACATTTTTTTAAATTCAAATGTTCTAAATTGACTGATCCTTTTAGCCACTAACTGCAAATAAGGGTAGAAACATCAATTTTAAAAACAATGATATCTTTATTGATAATGTCAGACCAAATGAGGTGGCAGCCAATGAATGCACCAACACAAGGCGCGGATATTAGATCCATTTTATAAACAAGGCGACTCTTATTCCTTCAAGCTTGTTATTTTCATAAACTGGCAAGATGGATGAGAACTAAAAAAAGAATGATATGTTATTAATTCTGTAACACCTTAAAGAATGTTCCCTAAGAGACAGGTAGCAGTGGCAGTAGAACTCAGCTTTGGCACCCAGACAGAAAAGGAAGATGGAATTCCCCGGCACAGTCCTAAATGCTGGCCGACAAACTTTGCATATTGTGTTCAACTTCCCTTACAAGGAATAAAATGTTATACACACACACACACACACACACACACACACATCATATGACCTTGTGCATGTAATGTCTGCAGATCTACAGAAACACACAGAAGCCAGGCGCAGTGGCTCATGCCTGTAATCCCAGCACTTTGGGAGGCTGAGGCAGGCAGATCACGAGGTCAGGAGTTCAAGACCAGTCTGACTAACATGGTGAAACCCCGTCTCTACTAAAAATACAAAAATTACCCAGGTGCAGTGGTGGGCACCTGTAATCCCAGCTATTCAGGGGGCTGAGGCAGGATAATCACTTGAACCCGGGAGGCAGAGGCTGCTATGAGCCAAGATCATGCCACTGCACTCCAGCCTGGGCAACAGAGTGAGACTCCGTCTCAAAAAAANAAAAAAAAAAACAAAACATAGAAAACAATCAGAAGCATAAACACTAAACCACTGTGAATAATTGTTCCCTGTGAAGGCAGGTACAGGGATATGGGGCCACCGGGGCTGGGGTAGGGAGGAATGTGCCGGAAGCAGGTGTGGGATGTATTATTTTTTTTTTAAATAGAGATGGGGTGTCACCATGTTGGCCAGGCTGGTTTCGAACTCCTAACCTCAGGTGATCCACCCACCTCAGCCTCCCAAAGTGCTGGGATTACATGCGTGAGCCACTGTGCCCCACCTCAAGGGATGTATTTTTATTTCCACTGTATACCCAATTATTGCCTTGCCTTTTCCCCTGTTAGCAGGTTTTACCATTATAATTTTAAACTTCTTTTTTAAAACCTTTTAAAATTCAAGAAGTATTATTTGAAATGAGAAGTAGTTTGCTTTCCAAAAGTCCAGAGATTTTAAAAAAGTTGCATGTAGGGGATAGATAAGCAGAAAGGAGCAAGTCCACCAGGAAGCAAAGGAAAAAAGGAGAGAGATTATGTGATGGTGGTAGGTAATATTTTTTCTCTTTTGGAATATTTTCTTTATAAATTACAAAAGCAACTTCGCAGAAAAATTAGATCACAGAGAAAAGACAATCATTAGTCATTATAAACAACTGCAGAACTTCCAGCCCAACAATGGTTAGTATTTGGGAGCTTTTAAGTATATGCATATATACATACGCATGTGTGCATGTACACACATTTCACATGGCTGCAATATTCGGGTGCATTAAGTGAACACTTCACATTTTGACATAAGCATTCTTTCTGTTACCATTTGGTCTTCAGAACTCTCATTTTCGCAGCTGAATTATATTCTACAGAGTAGCCTACATCAAACCATATTTCTCTGTATCTTGTTTTTGGATATTTACTTTTCATTCAAAACTAATCCTAAGAGACATTTCTCTCTGTGAAAAGTGCTTTGTTTCAGGCATCACATAGATCTCTTGGAATAGTTATTTACTTAAAAAGCGTAAGCAATTTTTTGGGTTTGAGGTAAAATTGACTTCTAAATGAGCTGTATCTATTTCCAGCGCCACCAGCAATATGAGAGTGCCAGTTGTACCACACTGAACCACCACTGGGTGGCAGAAAGGCTAATGCATTTTTATTACTCCCATAGGCAAAAGTGGAAATGAATTATTTTAATTTACATTTTTGATTGCCAGTGATATTGCCAATTCTGTCTAGGCTTGTTTCCCAGTTGTATGTTCCCCTTTGTGATTTGGTTTTTACGACCCATGATATGGATTTATTTCAATTCAGATCAAGCCCACAAAGAAAGCTGCAATTTGAGAAAATAGCAGTGGATCTGCTTTTTGATTCACAGAACTCCCTGTGTGAATTTGCAGATTCAAATATGCTACAAAAGACCTATTCACTATTATGGTGGGGACTTGAACAACTCACAAAACTCAATTGCATGTTCCTTGGAGCCCTTTGAAGTGGTAGCTCTTCCAAGAGAGGGTCCCTCAACAGCAGGAGATGCCCAATAGAGCAAATACATAGTAATGACGGATTCATGTCAATGCAACCCATTTAATGGATTTCTATACCTCCTAAGTACTAAGAAAATGCACAGTTTTTTCTTATTTGTTAAGAGTTTTCTTATTTGTTAGAAATCTGAAACAGGAAGAGATTAGGGTAACGGGCTGGGCAGTGCCTTCTCTCCAGCGTGATCAAGCAGTGACTCAGAAGTTCATCCTTGTGCATGCTAAGACGGTGTGTCTCACACCTAGAAGGCCAGTGATAGTAGCCCCTGCTGCTTCCTCTCCTGGCAGCTGAGTGATAATAAAGGGTGCCATGGGAATTAATCAATAATTGCCAAATGACATGCTCAACGCACTTTCAATTCTCAGTCCAATGGATCCATCTCAGTGGTTCTCCACCAGAGGTGATCTGACCCCCAAGGCACATTTGGCAATATGTGGAAACATTTTTAATAGTCATGGCTAGGGCAGGGCTGTGGACAAAGAGACCAGAGATGCTGCAAAACACAAGGAGCAGGGCAGTGCCCAAAAACAGAGTTATCTGCTCCAAAATGTCAATAGGACTAGGTCTGAGAAACCTTCTATGTCTAATGTTCCCAGTTTTAGAGTTCAAATTTGTAAAATTCGACTTTATTTTTAACCTCTGATTTGTTTCATGAATCAACAGTGAACATATATATGTGACTATGATTTTACTGATTGGTTTGGTAAATTATTTATTCCTAAATCAGCTGTGAGGAATAACTCACTGCTTGGTTTTGAATAACATTTAATATTAGACATTAACCATCCCCATACCTGTTCCTTCCAAGCAGATGTTAAGTAGCATTGTTGAATATTTCCAACAAACATTTCGGGTGCTCAGGACACAGTCCTCTCTTATCTGCAGCTCTCTATGTAAGTAACCTGTGCTGTTTTCTCTCCTAGCTATGTCCGCGTGCACGAATTCAGCCGAGGTTACTGATACCTACTGTGTTCCAGTCATTCCACAACCTCCCTAGGATGCCTTCATTTTTTGGCTCCTAGGAAACGGAAAATGCGCTTCCTTTGAGCTCTACCATCCCTTTAAATTGACCAAGTCAAAGCCACTTGCTCAGAGCCCAACAAGTAAAACGTGGAGGTGACGTCCGTGGTCCCCACTCGCTGTCCTGCAGCCGCCAGGTTGTTTCTAACAGTCCCACAAACTTGCTTCCACCCTGTAGTTCATTATTGCTTTACGATTATCCTCTTCTTTCAAAAACCCATTTCCCTTAGCCTCAATGAAGATTGTTTTCTTTCCCTCCACACAAGCAAGAAAAGCACTTCCACAATACAGACATTTTCTTTCCAGGAAGCATAAATCAACACATCGGCATCTTCCTAGGAATGATTCCAAGAAACCCTCTGCTAGGACTGTCTCTCCGACTTCACAGGCTGCCCAGGGCTGCCAGACTCACCTGAGCTGAGCCGAGTGGGATCCAGAACCAGGCAGCACTCGGCCCCTCTGGGGTCCCGGTGTCCAGGGCTGACTTTGCAGGGGCTCCTCTTCACTTGGGGCTCCCACTCCCTGTCGCACGCTTTCTTTCTCCCTTTCCTGAAACGCAGCAGCAACTCGTGGCTTTTCCTCTAAGGGGCGGGTTCTCTCCATTTCCCACTCCCACGTGTGGGCAGAGCAGCCCCACCGCCGGCTTATACCCCTGCAGTGTGCCCGGGGCCCGCCGGGGGGCAGCAGAGCGACCCCGGGAGCTGTGGAAAGATGGCCGACCCCTTGGAGTTAGGAATTGTCGCGGAAAACTATTCATTTCAGTCCCTTAGCCACTAAACCTAGGGATTTACTTCTGGTGCGAGCCCCTTCTCACCCCTTGCCCTCCCTGCGTGCTGGTGGCACATGAGGGATAGTGGACCGAGCAGCGGCTGCTTAGGAAAGTGGGTGCAAGTACTCAAAGTGGGCTGAGGATATGAGGTGCGCTATGGACTTGAGGACTGCCACGTAGAAAAGGGATTCAGTTGATTCCGGGTGATTCTAGACGCCAGCTCTGAGACAGAGTGAAGTTACAGGGAGGCCAAATTGTGCCCCACGTCATCAGCTTTCTCACAGTGGCCTTCCTAGTCCTGAAGCAGGCTGCTGTGTGACGCTGTTGTGTGTTGGTAGCAAGCACCTAATAGTAGAAGTTCTCGACTGCTGATTTATAAGAAGTGCCAGAGATTCTTTATTGAAATGGAGATTCCTGTACCACCTCCCAAAGATTCTGAATCTGTAGGTCCAGCCTGGGCTCAGGAATCTGCAGTTGAGACTCTGGTAAGCCTCCTGCAGATGCTCCATGGACCACAGTTTGAGAAACTGGCGCCACATGACATTAAATGCCACATGGCATTCTCCAACCCTGGCATGCAGATTTTTGTTGTCATTTTGGTGGAAAAGGCCAGTCTACTGAGGAGGGACTGGGTGAGGCAAGAGCAGAGCCTGTGATGCAAAACGTAAGGAGCTGCTCCCTCAGAGGCCACCCCTGCACTTGCATGGCCCTGTGAGGGCACCTTCTTAAGCCTTGTGCCTCAGGCCACTTTCTCCGATCACTCTAGGGCTGGCCCTGCCACTCTCCCAGTCCTGAATCCAAGCTGACCACTTCACACCACAGGACAGGGTGGGGCAGAGGAGCAAGGAGAGAGGGCATACAGTTACAGTCACGAGCCACATAACGTTTCAGTCAATGATGGACCACGTGGATGGTGGTTCCTTAAGATTATAATGGAACTAAAAACTTCCTATCACCTAGTGATGTCATAGTAGTTACAATGTTGTAGTGCAACACATTATTCATGTGTTTGTGGTGATGTTGGTGTAAACAAACCCACTGCACTGCCAGTCATATAAAAGTATAGCACACACAATTGTGCATAGTACATACTTTACAGTAATAAAAAACAATCAGGTCCCTACTTTATATATTGACTATATTATACTTTTTATCATTAGAGTGTACTCCTTCTACTTATAAAAAAAATGGTTAACTGTAAAAAGCCTCAGGTGTGTAGGCTAGGAACAATAGGCTGGACTTATGACAGTCTAATGCCTGATGCTCTGAGGGTTGAACAGTTTCATGCCAAAACCTTCTCCCATCCTCACCCCCATGAAACTGGTCTCTGGTGCCAAAAAGGTTGGGGAGCACTGGGTGTGTAGTAGGCTACACCATGTGAGTTTGTGTGAGTACATTCTATGATGTTCACACAATGGCCAAATTGCCTAATGACACATTTCTCAGAACATATCCCCATTGTTCAGTGATGCATGATGGTACCTGAAACTTATATCACATTAAGTGAGCAGAAGCAGAGTGACTATGAGCAGTGAGGTCAGAGCCTTAAGCCTTCCCTGCTACAATGGTGGCATCTGGGAGCACACAGTGATCGAGAGCCTGCCCTGGACCTGGCCAAAAAGGGACAGTAGTCCTTTCTGAGCACATTTTAGCCCAGACATCAAAACAAAGAAAATTTCTGGTTATGGGGACAGTCTTCCTGGAAGTTCAGGAAGGGAGAAAATAATGGCAGGTCATTCAGGAGTTTTTCCACATGTCCCCAAAGATGCAGCAAAATTTTTCATCAAAGAATATTTTTCTGTCAAACCAGACAACTGTATTTGTGAGTGCAGAAACAGGAGATTTTTGTAGGGGAGAAAGTAGGTGTGATTGGAAAGTGATTATGAGACTCCAAAGCTAATGATAAATGATAGTCATAATAATCACTGTCAGTTAGGAAAACAGGGAATATGATATGGGGAATTAGTTACAAGAGCCATGGAAGAGCTGAAAAATCACACACAATGTAGGTGGAGTAACCCAGAGATTAACAATTGACAATGGAAGCAGCTGCCAACCCTAGAGATGTGAGCGGAAAACTACCACTGGAAATGCTGCCCAAAGCAAAGCAGGTGCGATTAATACCCCCACTGCACAGATGAGTAGCATGAGGTCCAGAGAGATTAAAGGCACATGGCTACGAGGCGTGTAATGAACTTAAACTCAGGCCATGTGATAGAGTCCACATGTGGCACCACTACACTATTCCCATATGAATAAAGGGCACATTGGGGGAGATGATAGTAGAATTGAGTGAAAGTTGAATTCAGAGTATACATTTTTAATGCATGTTTTTAGTTGAGGTGGTTCTCCTGGTAAAAGTGAGTTCATTCATTCATTGAATGAATACTGCTGACTCCAAGCCAGATACTGTGAGTAAAAAGATTACTTAATAAAATCAAATGTATCCCATAAAGAATTTTGATTTTGTTGCAAAAGTAGTGAGTTAATGAGCATGTCCCTGAGTTTAATTACAAAGGCAACTGTGAGTTAATGAGGGTAGGCCTGACTTCTTGATGGAAGCTGTAGAAATGGAGATACTAAAGTTGCCCAAAGACCAGGTTGTGCACCCCAAAAGGAGCAATCAGAAAGCCAAGGGACATTGATGAGTGTTCACTCTCACTATTCCCCAAGACTGCGCAAAAGGTTGTCTTTGTTTTCATCTTTGCTTATGTGTTATTCCCCAACAAATTAGTTCTGTGTAACCATCCTCATTCTTTGGATGCTTTTTTGGAAGCTTTCCATTCTGATGTCACTCTTCTATTTGAGTCACCTTTTCTATTTTTACCATCTACTCATCCTGATGGCTTCCTAATTTGGGAGAAAACCTTCAGGGTCCCTCACTTTAACTTTTACCGGAGTCAAAAAGCATTTCAATAGAAGTTTTCATTTTCTTTTTGACTTTTGACAGTATTTTAATTTTCCTGAGGACAATTTAAGAAAAAGAGAAACAGAATGCGTGAGTCCTGAAAGTAGTTCATAGTCCAGAAGAAGAAGAATTAAACCACAGGCAACCCCTGACCCACGCTGCAAGCTTAAGGCCATTATGCTAGGAAATAAGCCAGCCACAGAAAGGCAGATGCTGTATGACTCCACTCACATAAGGCGCATAGAACAGTCTACTCTCATAGAAATGGAAGTCGATGGATGCTGGAGGAAGGGGATGGGAGCAAGGGTTGGAGGAAGGGGAACATGGGGAGCGAGTGTTTAAGGGATGTGGCATTTAGTTTTGCAAGATGAAAAAGATTGGTTGCACAACAATGTGAATATTCTTAACATTACTGAGCTGGACTTTTTCAATGGTTAAGATGGCGAGTTTTATGTTACGTGTATTTTAGCATAATTTAATAAGCAAACAAATCCAGCATCTGAGAGGCTGGGGAGTCAAGCCCTAACATTCCAAGGGTCCTGCGGAACCGGGCAGTTGTCCGAGGTGCTCTGGAAAATCCCGGGGTCTCCATCAGCCCCAATTTCAGCGGTCTTAGAGGCCCTGTGGGAGAGTGCGCGGACACGCCAGTGTCAGGTTTCCTGCCTCAACCTTTGTACTCAGGTCTAAGGTGGAGCCTTAGAGTGGGCATGAGGGAAGGAATAACTCTCCTGTCTTCCTGTCCTTAACCTGGGCTCCAAGCCCGAGGGTCTAAGTCCCCAGGGGCGAGTTTTAGGGTTGAGAAAATGCACAGCGCCACCTACTGGCAGCTCTTTGCCCTCCCTCCCCGCCGCCTCCTGCTGTCTGGCCTCTCAGTGGGACCCGGGCGTCTCTTTCAGGAACAGGCTGGACAAGGTGGCTCACACCTGTGACCGAGCACATTGGGAGGCCGAGGCAGGATGATCGCCTGAGCCCAGGAGTTCGAGACCAGCTCGGGCAACGTAGTTAGACTAAAAAATAAAATATTCGCTGGGCGTGGGGTGGTGTGCCTGTAGTCCCAGCTACTTGAAATGTTCCCCTGTGGAAAGAAAAACCCTTCTGTAATTTTGTTTGAGATTGCACTAAAGTTTATACATAAATTTGGGGAGAATTGGTATTCTACTGTCATTATCAACTACAATTTTGATTCTCTCCCCCCCTCTTTATTCGGTACTAAGCCAAGTCATCGATAAGTAATGATGATTTCTTTCTAATATTCATACCTGTTTTCTTTGCCTAATAAATTAGCTGTTATTTACAAAACGATGAATGCTACTCACTTTGCCTTGTTCTTTAATAATGTCTTTGGGGATATTTTGAAAGTATTTAAAAGCTAGACAAGGGCCCTGAACAGTCCAGAGGGGAGGCATCAGTCAGCTGGTACTCTTACATCAATGTGAAATTATGGGCACACAGTAAGCCCTGAGCGTTTTATCATCAAGCATGTTTGCTGATTTGTAATAAATTTAAAATAATACTTTCTTATTTTACCAATAATTTCTTCTCAGGATAGAGTCAAAAGTCTTTATAACTTGGTTTGGACCTATCTTTCCAGCCTGATATTTCTCAACATGGCTCAGTAGGCAGCTCCCCCCACTAAGTCCTTCAGCCACTGCCCAGCATTTAAAACGCCCAGTCACGTGAAACAAGGGTTTCCAGATCTGATTCCCACGGCTCCCATGCCCTTCTCGTGGGCTGTTCTCTGTTTGAGAAACGCTTCCCACTAATAACTTGGAAAAGCACCCAGTTTTCAGGACGTGGCCTGGTCCATATCCTCTCTGAAGTCTTCTTTGGCTATCTCCTGCTCTCTGTGCCATCAATTGAACTCCAATCTAGAAAGAGTTGGTCCCTTTCTCTTTTGCACACCCCCAGTGTATCCTGGACTGTCGTGTTTTTCACACTATATTTGTATTTAATTGTTTCCATTTCTTCTGCATTTGT